CCCTAATTCTAGACCTACCAGCCAGGAAACATTCTTCCAGTATCTACCCTATCAAGACCCTTAAGAATTTTATAATGTTTCAATAAAGCATCCCCTCATAGTTCTAAATTCTGGGGGATTTATGGGTAGCTTGATCAAACTCTGAAGTCTTAAGGTGCATTAGGTAGCATTCCTAATTGCTCTTGAATTGAATAAGTTATTAGGCCATTTCAGAGGGCATTTTAAGAGTCAACCACACTGCTGTGGGTCTGGAGTCACTGATAGGCCAGACCAGGTAAGGATGGTATTAGTGAATCAGATTGGTTTTTTACAACAATTGATGATGGTTTTCATTGCCTCCACCATTGCAACTGGCTTTATATTCCAAATGTATTAATTGATTTTACATTCCACCAGTTCCCATGATGGGATTGGAAAGCACTATGCCCACAGTGTTCACTTCATCGCCATCTCCCCCATACCCCAACCCCACCACCACCATCATTCTGAGTAAGAAATTTCCCCTTATCTCAGTGCTTAACCTAACACTGTGTCCACTGGATACTGATTTCTCAGCCAAGGGAATCATCCTTCAAGGAATTGCACTATTTTCTTACAAGTTTCACCATAAAAAGGGAGGGGCATACTGGCACTGGAAGTGGTTCAGAGAAGGTCCACTAGTCTGATTCCTGGAATGATGACTTTGTTTTATCAGGAAAGGTTCAGAATATTGGCCCTATACTTGTTAGGAATTTAGAAGAATGAGAGGTGATCTTTTTGAAACATTTAAGATTAGTTTACCCCTGTGTTGCAGGTAAAGATCTTCTGTAACTTTGAGTGTTTGTAAACCAGTTAAAAAAAGGAACAGATAACAAATGACTCTCTCTCTCTGGAATTTAATCACAGTAGAAAGGCATTAGAACTGCAGAATCTCAACTAAGGATGACGGAGCCGACAGTTCACCTACCAATGTCAATGTTACCAGTAACTTCCAATGCAATGACTGCAACGTTCATCCCTCTTTGTGAATAATTCAGAGACTGAACTTTACAAGTGTTTTTATTAACTTTAATCATTTGAGATTTGTTTCTTATTTCCAATCTGCGTGTATGTGTGTTACGTTACTAATTCTTCCCATAAACAACAAACACTTCTTTGTTCACTCAAGAAAAGCCTAGTTAAATTCGTTCCTTTTAAAACTGAAAATCACTGCATCTGGGAGAAAGGCAGCCACAAGGAAAGGGATCCTTTTTCAGTTAACTACATTGCAAATAACTGGGGCTGGGGTTGGGGTAGGGGAGGAGATGTGGTTGATGATGCATAAAGAATGGAATGCAGTCCACCCCCTCATTACCCAGAAACTTAATACTTTGGGGTGTCCTGTCTGGAACTGTAACAAATTAGGGAATATCACACAGGATTTGGTCGTGACACCGTTCAAAACGATCATGGCTGATCACCATTTCTCTCCCTTTTTCCTTCAGTATTCCCATATTCCTTTACACCATTGATATTAAGAAACCTCTATGTTAGAAATACTCAAGGACTGAACCTCCATATCCGTCTGGAATAGAAAGTTCCAAAGACTCACAACCCTTTGAATAAAAGAAATTCTCTTCATCTCTGTCCTAAGTATCTTCCCCCTTATTTTGAAATTATGTCCCTTGCTTCAAGACTCCCTGGCTAGGGGAAATATCTTATTTGCATCCACCCTGTCTATCCCTTTAAGCATCTTGATGGACTCATTGAACTCCCTCTCTGTCCATGATATCTTTACTAAGATATGGAGACCAAAACTGCACAGTACTCCGAGCACACTCTAAGTAAGCTCCTGGACAATTGAAGCAATGCCTTGCTACTCCAATACTCAACTCTTCTCGTAATTAGTCTTCCTAATACCTGGCTGCACCTACATGTTAGCCTTCGGTGACTTACTGATGAGGAGACCCAGGTCCCTTTGTATATCCACACTCTCCAACTTCTCATTATTTAAGAAATATTCTGTGCATCTGTTCCACATGGATAACCTCACATTTTTCCACATATTCCATCTTCTATGTTTTTGCCCACTCACTAAGTCTGTCCAAATTTTCCAGAAATGACTTCCATCTTCCTCACAACATGTTCTCCATCAGCTTTTGGTCCGCACCTCCAAATCATTGATATATATTGTGTACAGCTGGGGCCCAAGTACTGATCCTTGTGATACCCAGTTAGTCACAGCCTGCCAATATGAGAATGCCCCATTTATCGCTGTTTTCCACCTATTAGTCAATCCTCCCTCATACCAATACATCAACTCCTATCCTTTGTGTTATAATCTTGCTAACTATCCTCCTGTATAAGTCTGTCTTCTCCACTGACTCCCCTTCATTAATTCTGTTAGTAATATTTTCAAAAAAACTCCTAACAGGTTTGCCAAATGTGATTTTCCAGTCACAAATCCATCTCGTGCCCAATTAGATCATTATTGTCCAAGTGCATATTTATCATATGTGTAGTATCTGTTCTTAACAGTTGAATAGCTGATAGATCCTTACAAAATGAGTTTGGGCACATTGATAGTGTGCTGACCTCTGGGCCAGTAGGTCTGCATTCAAGTCCCATTTGTACTGAAAATGTGCATAAACACATTGATTTAAAACAAAAGATCACATCCTTTATAATGCATTCTAGCATTTTCCCTACTTCCCAGGTTTATGGCTAACAGGCCTGAACTCCCAGTTTTCTTTCTCCTTCCCTTCTTAAATGGTAAAGTGATATTTGCGAGCTTGCAACATGTAGGAGCCATTACAGAATCTATAACATTTTGGAAGATGATCACTAATGCATCCATTGTTTCATAGCTATGTGTTTCAAAAATCTGGATGCCTGGGATGTTTCCCATTTTGGGGAATCCTGGAGGGATCTGCATTGGGACCTCAATTATTCACAATTTTCCTGAACATGTTGGAAAATGTCATAAAAAGCCAAATATCCAAATTTGCTAATGACACAAAATTGGCAGTATTGTAAACAGTGTTGATGACAACATAAAATTACAACAGGATATTGATAGATTACATGATGGGCAAAGCTGTAGCAGTTGGATTTTAAGATAAGCAAGTGTGAGGTTATTTGTTTTGCATCATAAAAGGGCAGATCAGGCTATTTTTTTAAAACGCACAAAGTTAAATACAGTGGATGTCCAACAAGATTGGGATTCAGGTGCATAGCTCTTTAAAATGCCATGAAGCGGGACAGATAATACTCAAGAAGGCTAATGGAATGATGGTCTTCATTTCTAAAGGGCTGAAGTATAGGGATGCAGACATTATTCTGCAGTCATACAGAACCCTAGTTAAATCCCATTTACAGTACTGTAAGCAGATCTGGGCACCACACCTTAGGAAAGATGTTTTGGCCCTGGAGGGAGTTCAGTATATGTTTACAAGGAATTATGCCTGGACTTCATGGGTAAAGTTATGAGGGAAGATTAGACAAATTAGGCTTTATTCTACAGAATTTAGAAGTTTAAGGGGTGATCTAATTGAGATCTTCAGGATATTAACAGGGAAAGACAGGGTAGATAAAGATAAACTATTATCACGGGGTAATAGAACCAGGGGACATAGTCTAAGAATTAGAGCCAGGCCATTCAGGAGAGATGTTAGAAAGCACTTCTACACACGAAGAGTGGTGAGATTCAGAACTCTGTTCCACAAATGGTGGTTGATGTTAATTCAATTGTTAAATTTAAATCTGAGATAGACAAATCTTTATTAAGCAAGGGTATCAAGGGATATGGGCAGGCATGTGGAGTTAGGCCACAGATCAGTCATGATCTTATTGAATGCCAGAGCAGGCTGTAGGTGCTGAATGGCTTATACCTGCTGCTATGAATCTAGATCTGAGGTGCAGTTTTAAAATGGTCTCTGTTTAAATGGAGATGAGGAGGAATTTATTCTGAGAGAGTTGATAGCATTTAGAATTCCGTTTCCCAATGAGCTGTGGAGAATGGGCCACTGAATATATTCCAGCCAGATTTCTGATTGAAAAGGAAGATGAAGATTCTGGATAACAGGCAGGAAAGTAGACTTAAGGCCACAATCAGAATAGCTGTGACCTTATTGAATGGAGAGCAGGCTCAATGGACCAAATGGTGCTACTCTTGTTGCTGTTTCTTATGATCTTATGTAAAGCGATTCAGGACATCCTGAGGTCATGGGTGCAATCTTCTGTCTGCGAGAGGTGACCATCCATCCCTTTTGGATTTGAGATCCTACAAGGGCGTCAAAGACATTATATAAAGGGAAGTCTTTATTTTAGCTGGGCTGGAACGTGGATGGCGGAGATGCTTCCTCTTGACGGAACAGTGCAACAGGAAGAACGAGAGATAACAAGGTGTAGAGCTGGATGAACACAGCAGGCCAAGCAGCATCAGAGGAGCAGGAAGGCTGATGTTTCGGGCCTAGACCCAAGACACCTTGTTATCTCAGATTGTCCAGCATCTGCAGTTCCTACTATCTCCGGAAGAATGAGAGGCAGTCCAGGCACTTTGGAAAGGAGGTTGGTGGAGTGTGGCAGGGAGATGGATGAGGTATTTTGGTGGCGCACCGTACATCTCCAATTGACCGAACAGCCCCAACATGAAGAATGAGAATTGGGGACTTTGGTGGGGGGGGTCAGTGGTAGGGTGTTTTAAAGTATTTGGCCTTAAACTCTGTGCAAACTATGCAGGTCGTGTGCCAGTACCCCGAAGCCCTCGCCTCTCTGTCAGTTGTTTGCAGGAGGTGGGAGAGGCAGGGAGTTGAAGTGAGGGGGATCCGCTAAGACCCAACGGAAACACGGCGCCGGCCGAGTGACAGCGGGGGTTTGGGGGTGGAGGCCCTCTGGCCAATGGACGAGACGGGGAGGCGGGCCTCTATCCCTGACAAGCAGCGCTCAGGACCAATGGGAGGCGGCAGCGGGCGGGATGTCCGCCCGGCGCGTTGGGGCTGAGCCTGGCATTCCCAGGCAATAATGGATGCTTCTTGGCTGGGATTGCAATGGACTGAGCAGGATTGCAGCAGGGGGGCTGCACTTCCAGGCAGCAAGCACTGAGCACAGGCACCCCAGCAAGGAGGGAGAGAGTGCTGCCTGAGGGAGATCAGGTGCAAAACCAAAACAATAATCCATCCTTCCTCCAAAGCCCTGTATGTAGCTCATCCCCTTTTTGCAAAAAAAATAACAAAAGTGGGATGTGATTGTCTTAAATGCAAAAGTGCATTGAAGTGTTTTTTTTGCATTGCACAGTGACACAGCTCTTGCATTTCTTGGCTGTGGGTTAACTTTCATCTGCATTGAAATTAATACTAAGAATTATTAGGGTTTGCTAATTGTAGTTGCTGCACAGGGTGCAAGCTTGGCACACGACTGCTGCAAAAGTGGTCCTACAAGGAGAAGGCTCCCCACCCAACCCGTGAGTGGTGTTATTGTGCTTTCCAAGGGCACGGTGCCTATTGTGATCTGTGGTTGTGCAAAGGGGGAGGGGAGGGAAATGAAGGGGGCGGTGTGATTCGCAGCCGAGCTCTTGACTGGAAGCAAGCGAGTGAATGGGCTGTGATGTATAGATAGGTTTACTTATCGTTGCATTGTCTGTCTCGCTTCCCCTCCTTGCAAAAACCCTGAAGTTGCAAGCGTCTTAATATTTGCATGTGATCAGTCACACGGTGGTTAAAATAATTCTCCCACTAATTAATACCATGAAGATGTGCTTTTTGTTTTTTTTTTCCGGGGAAAAAACCCAGGTGAAGACACCTGGACAATAAGCGAATTGTTAGTTTCCTGCTATGTTGTCATTCGGGAGCTGTTTAGCAATCGACCATTTGTAATATATAAATGAGACAGGGAGACATTGTTTCTGTATAATACATAAAATAACATTGTTTGATAATGAATAGGATAGTGTAATTTTCATTCTAAGTCTATATTGAGTCATATTTAAGGTAGTGGCTGAATTGGTATGGATAGCCCTGGAATGGGGATATTACTCCCATGCTGATAATCACTGTGTTGGAAAGTGTGACCATATTGGCACTGGGTAAGGATAGAATTGAGTTTGGGTGTGATGTACTGCACAGCACATCATCCATTCCACACTAGTTGAGCTATAGAAGTAGGAATGTTTTAAATAAGATACATAAAAGAATGGTGTTTTTAAAATATTACCTGAAAAAGTTATATTTCAGAATATTGTGTATAATAGTGACATTTCTGTTATATTTTACTGGCAGATCTCCCACAGTGCTGCTCGTGACAAGTTGAATGATGTGCTGCTCCACAAAGACTGGGCTGTTCTATCAGGTACGGTGATGGAAAATGCATGAATTTCAGTGTATATAGGCCATGCTTACCAGTGATTTGGTCATTGAATCAAACAGTATGTTCTTCTAGCACAAGACAGCATTCACCTGCAAATTCTTAAGACAGAGTGCCTACTGTTAGGTGTGGTTCTGAGATTCGGTAAAACTTGCTGAACAATCCTGAGTGTGCAGAAGAAAACTAGGTTCAAACAATCATTCAAACTTGTAATGCAGCTCATTTTCACATATAGAATCATCCAGCATGGAAACAGACCTTTTGATCCAACTCATCCATGCCAGATATCTTAATCTAGTCCCATCTAAACCCTTCCTAATCATGTACCCTTCCAGATGCCTTTAAATGTTGTACCAGCCTCCACCACATCCTCTGGCAGCTTATTCCATAAGCGCATCACCCTCTGTGTGAAAAAGTTGCTCCTTACATCCCTTTTAAATCTTTCCCCTCTTACTTTAGACTTATGCCCCCTAGTTTTGGTGTCCCCCAGCTTGGGGAAAAGACCTTGGCTATTTACCCTAACCATGTCCCTCATGACCTTATAAACCTCTATAAGGTCACCCCTCAGCCTCCGACACTCCAGGAAAAATAGCCCAGGCTATTCAGCCTTTCCCAATAGCTCAAACCCTCCAACCTGGCAACATCCTTCTGAATCTTTTCTGATCCTTTTCAAGTTTCACAACATCCTTTCTATAGTGGGAAGACCAGAATTGACCACGTTTCACATATTCCAAAAGTGCCCTAACCAATGTCCAGTACAGCTGCAAAATGACTTCCCAACTCCTAAACTCAATGCACTGACCAATAAAGGCAAGCATACCAAATGCTGCCTTCGCTACCCTGTCTACATGCAACTCAGCTTTCAAGGAACTATTAACATGCATTCCAAGATCTCTTTTGTTTGCTAGAAGTAACATTCATTCATAGTCAGGCACCCATTCTGTACAAACAGTAGGAATATGTTCAAGCTGGCCCCTTCTTTTGAACTATCTGGGGGCATAGAAAGCCTGTAGTTCCTGTTATTTTTGTCGTGGGATGTCTTGGTCAATCAGAGGGGACTTTGCCATGTAATCAGCACTCTTTTCTCCTCTACTATAAAACATTTCATAATTGGAAATTTGGCATTCTTGTTTTTGGTTCTGATGAGTGCCAGAGAATAAGTTTGGCAACATGTCTCCCTACTCAGCTAGAATGTGACATGTATTATTTGTTGGCTGAGGTAGATTTTAGACTACTGATACATTAAATGTTCTTAAAGCTGAAAGCAGCCATAATGCTGCCAGAGTTTGGCTTGTTTAGATTTAGGGAAGGTTCTTAATTGGAAAATAATTGTAATTTTTGGGTCCCAGGTCAGTGATGACTTTCGGCCTTTTACAAACAAGATTGTTTTACATCTGTACCAAATTATGATGTCTAGTGTATATTGTGTTGAAACTAGAATGTATTTTTACACAGTAGCATATTTTTCTTGGCACAGCTCATGGGGAGTACTGTTCTTTAAGTGTAGAATTGGTGTATCATGTAATGTGCAATAAATTCTGCTATTGAAGTATGAATGTGCTTCTTTAAGACCCCAGGAGCCTACTGCTGTTCATGTTACACCACTGGAGGTCACTCAGAGTTTAATTGCTCTTTGGTGAGGGAGGTGGGCAGATTGGCTGGTTGCTGCAAATTTCAGGTTACAGGGCAGAATGCAGAAATTCCTGTCAGTCCTCTCTCTTCAGTCTGATTGCGGAGGTCAGTGGCAGGTTGTAAGCATTCCCACATTTGAATCAATGGACACATTTTGTTATTGCTGTATGTCAGAAATGTGACAAATGCATCTTTAAATGTGTTTCTCTAACTCTCTCTCTTAGAACATTATTCCTTATGGTGCATTATATAGCACTGTCAATGTGTGAAGGGAAAGGAGGGACCTGTTTAAAAACAGATTGTTGCAAAGACACTGTCCTTAACATAAAATGATATTAAAATGTTCAAAGGAGCTTTATGTTACCAATATTAGACAAGATTTGACTGTGAAAGACATGCAAACATGTGAATTAGGTGTGAAATAGGCCACTTGGCCCCTCCAGCTGCTCTGCCATTCAACAAGATCATGATTGATCTGATTACTCCACATTTCTGCCTACCTCCATTAACCCTGTTCTTTGTTTATGAAGAATCTATCAACCTCTCACAAAAAAAATGTCCAAGGACTTTGCTTCTACGTGAAAAAAGTGTTCACCTGTCTTAATTGGGTGACCCCTTGAAAGACTGTGGCAGCGTGGGCAGAGCCAGCATTGCATTTTTGAGTGACCTCAAGACCCACAGCTCTAGAGTGGAAGAAAGTCATCTAAAGTCTCAAGGGATTGCTTAGGCAGGAGAAGAGACTTTGAAACAGTGGCTCCTGTATCTATATTCTCCCACCAGGGACGACATATCCATTCCATTGGCACTTTGTCAAGACTCCTCAGGATCTTGTGTACAAATGAAGACATTAAGGCAGATAAAGAAATGCTTGGTCAAAGCAGTATGTATTAAAGAAAGAAAATGGGTTGGATAAGTTTATGTGGTGGTACTGGAGTTTGGGGCCTTGGCAGCTGAAGGCACAGCCCCAAATGGTAGAATGGCTGAAATTAGGGATTCTCAAGGCCAAATCAGAGAAGCGCGGGTATCGCAGAGGGCTAGGGTGGAATGGAGGAGGTTGAAAGGGATAGGGAGGGCCTAAGCCTTGTAAAGCAAGGGTGATAATTTTACAGGTATGACTGGACTTGGAGGCAGTATAGGTCAGGGAGCACAGGGCTGATGGGTGAATTATACATGGTATGAGTTAGAATGCAGAGTTTTGGAGGAACTCCAGCTTGTGGGTAGTAGAACGTAGGAGGCCAGCAGAAGTGCCTGGGATTAGTCTGAAGTCAACAAAGGCATGGAAGAAGGGTTTGGCAGTGGATAAGCTGAGACAATGGCAGATTTGAGTGACATTCAGGAGTTGGAAATAGGTGGCCTCATACGATTAGCGCGTCATACTGTAACATGAACAGTTTGAGTGAGTCGTTGTTGGCTAACAGTAAGATGAGGTTTGATCATGACATAGTGGACTGGACCTATTGCCATGAAGCAGAACCCAGCATAATTAAAGAGAAATAGAACACAAAGCCTCAGTTAGAGTACTGTGTGCAGTATTGGATCACATAGAATAGGAAAGATATTGAGGCTTTAGGGAAGAAATTTGTAAGTGCAGTTTACTACCTGACCATTTCACAAGTCTTCCAGAAGAAGGCAGTCTCGACATCTGCTGATGCTTCACCTTGAGCTGTTTGAAAGAGTCAAAGTCATACAACATGGAAACAGACCCTTTGATCCAACCAGTCCATGCTGAACATAATCCCATGTCCCTCCCAAACCTTTGCTATTCATGTACTTGTCTAAGTGTCTTTTAAATGTTGTAATTGTGCTCACATTCACTGCTTTTTCTGGAAGTTCATTCCACGCACGAATCACTTTCTGTGTAAAAAAATTTGCTCCTCATGTCTTTTTTAAATCTCTCTCCTCTCACCTTAAAAATATGCCCACTAGTCTTGAAATCCCCTATCCTAGGGAAAACACACCTAACATTAACCCTATCTCTACCCCTCTTGATTTTTCAACTTCCGTGAGGTCACCTCTCAACATCCGATGCGCCAGTGAGAAGTCCCAGCCTATTCAGCCTTTCTTTATAACTCAAACCTTCCATACCCAACAACATCCTGGTTAATTGCTTCTGAATCCTCTCTTGCTTAATAATATCCATCCTATAACTAGGTGACCAGAACTGGAAACAATAGTCCAGAAGAGACCTCACCAGTGTCCTGTACAACCTCAGTGGTGGCTTGTATTGTCTTCCACACTCAAACACAGCAAAGAGGTGGGTTTCAGGTCTACCTTAGCCAGAACCGAGAATTAAAGCTTCCCCGTTGTTATCCTAAGTTGCACATTATGTGCCTGAGCTAACATCAGCTATCTCCTACCCATTCAAAGTCTGGTATAGAGAATTAAATATGAAGAAATTATATTAAAACTGACAGCCCAGGTTATAGGGAAATATGATTAAAATGATTATATCATGAATAAAGGGGGTTGGGTAAGATATGATGTTTAATAGGTGAGGAATCAAGAACTAGCTTCTACCATTTTAAATGTACAGGACTTAGAACAGAAGACAGGACATACCTGTTTTTATGCAGAGGGTTTTAAAGCTGCAGAATTGACTTCCAGAGTTGGCATTTGAGGCAGAAATTATATTAATGGTCATGATTACAGGTTGAAGAGTGGGATAGATGTTAGAGCAGTACGAGAAGATGGTGGATGCATATGATTGGAAGCATTTACTGGCGTAGAGGGTAAAGACTGACAAGAACAGGTTTGGGCCGAATGTCCTTTACCATACTGTGTTCACTATTCTGCATTTCAATTCTTGCATTTCTGTATGGTGTTGTCGCAGATGCCATTCTTCAGCAGTGATCATGACTACGATGGATGGGCATGTTTGTTGATAACCTGCAGGCCGTGATCAACATCACCAATAAAACCTTGCCTCTCATAAACATCAAAGCAACAGGCCAGATTTCCTTTTCCTTTTCCGCTATTTGCTGAAAGTAAGACCATTAGTCAAGATTCGTTTATTTTGTATTGTTGAAAATGTAAACATGTCGCCAGGGCTTTCTACTTCTATTTGTCAGGACAAACACAAGAATGCCAAATTTCAAGCTGTCACAATTTATATTTCCACTGTAACTTATTGTAAATTGTTGAGATTATTTGAAATCTGGCATCCTTACATTTGTTCTGATGAGTGCAAAAGCTTTGGTAGAATTTCTCTTTGCAGCAAAGTCAAGTTCTGAACTTCAGAGCAACGATTCACTTTTTTTATAGTGAGCTGTATGAAAATGGTTACAATAGAAATGCTCTAATTTTGGACTTCTGCCTAATATTTTGGCTGTGAGATTATTCAACTCTTGATTATTCTTGTTCAATCACAACTTTTTCCTAACAAAATTGCCCCAAAGTAATTCCAAGATGGAATAGATATGCCACAAACATTCAAAATCATTGTGTATGAAGGGATCACAGCCTAGAATGCATCAGTGAAGCTCATGAACATTAACCTGCTCATAATAAAATGGAATGGACGTAGCAAGCGTGAATGTAGTGAAAATGCATTAATCCACTTTATTTGACTATGTTGACTGGCTGGGAGGCACCGAGCAGTGAGGTTAAATTGACATTGCGACTTGGTAGTTCTCATACCAATCAGGCTGATGCTCCTCCTAATTGGGAAATGACATTGGCTGCTCACTTTATTCCTTTTTCCTAAAGAAAATCCATAGTCGTTCACTGTAGATAAAATTAGAGCTGAGGACCACGGGATAAAAATCAAGCCATCCCAAAAATTACCGTGTTGATTGGACTGTAAGACACACCGCACTAGAGGATTCATCAGGATTTTACATGGATGTATTGGAATGTAAACTCCAAACTGCAAGCCACGTTGTAATTTTAGTTTCTTTTTCCAGAAAATGTGCAGGAAGGGTATGCTTAAGTCACCTTGTTGTTGACTTTGTCCTTCATTTTTGATCTTTAACTATGATGGTTGCTTGCCTCCAATGTAAATGATAGCAGCAGGGACTGTTCACTTAAAGAATGTGCAATTGTGCTGATGGTGTTTAGTAAGGTCAGAGTCGCTCCTGGAATCTCTCAACATTTACGTAAGAGATGGGCTGAAGCCCATCTGGTCTATGTCAGTGTTTATGCTGGATACTTGACCTTCACACCTTGCTTCAACCAACTCTATCAATATAACCTTCTATTTCTTTCTCCCTCATTGTTACCAACTTCCCCTTAAATAAATTTATGATCAGCATCTCAACCAGGTCATGTGGTAGAAATTTTCACATTCTAATCAATCTCTGAGGAAAGTTAGTTTCTCCTGAAATGTTTATTAAATTTGTTGGTGACCTTTAATTCGGGAAGTATTTTGTCTATGTCTATTCTATATCAACTGTTGGATCAGCTTTCGGTCATCTTCCTAGAGCAAGGAGCATCTTAGTCTTTACTGATTTACTCTCTCAATTCTGGTATCATTCTCTGAATTTTTATGTTAAATTACAGAACCAAAGGTCCATAACTTCTTCACAATTGGTCCACATGGATTCAGGGACCATCCTGCTCCCTTCCCTTTTTCATCAATATGACAGTGCTGACACTAGGCAGAGATGCCTTCCTATAAAGGGAGCATGCCTTCAGTCCTCTCTTAGATCTTCTTCAAATTTCAAGCAAATGGTCTTCACATTTTGCTAGAATTTTAAGAGAATGCTATTACCAATGTGGAACTGGCCTCTGAAGATGAATATATCTTCTTCCTGCTCTGTACTGAGTGATGTGTAATTGTTAATTGGCTTAGATTTCAGCAAGGGTGTCAGTGGAATGAAGAGAACATTGGAAGTACCCATTGGCCATGATTTATATAGAAGGTGACTTAAGTCAGGAGTGACTTATGGTCAGTTCAGCATTTGGCATGTAAATCATATCCCACCAGTTTTCATACTGTGCTGTATTTACAGGAAGTGCTAAAGGTTAATTAGACAAAGGCATAAAAATGTCGGGTTTAATGATGCATGGTGTTCCTTTGTGGGTTGGTTCCAGTGGAGCTGAAGGCAGGGAAGTGCTAATTAACTTAGAAAACTACAGTAAGAGTGTTGCATTTATACTTTTGGCTAGCTCCTTCTGTTGACTTCAGGTACATCAGATGGAAAACCCATGACCATTCTTCTTTTTGAGCTTGCAAAGAAAGAAGTGCTTGCTTTTTTAAAATTTATTTTGTATCGGGATTTGATTGTTGCTGACAAAGCCAAAAGTTGTTGCTAATCCCTAATTAACCTTTGACTGAGTGGCTTGCTTGGTTATTTCAGGGGGCATTTAATGAATCAACCACATTACTGTGGATCTGGAATCACACATTAGATATGCCTTTTCTAAAGCACATTAGGAAACCAGATGAGTTTTCAGTGACCATTCACGATAGCTTTCAATTCCAGGTTTATTCATTTGAAAATATATTCCACCAGCTGCTTTGGCAGGATTTGAACCTCTGTCCCCAGAGCATTAACCAAGGTCATTGGACCAGAGTACTACACCATTGCCTGCTCCCACCCTCTGTTTTTCTCTTCCCTCCTGTCCACCAGTCTGCAGGACCTTGGACAGCAGATTTCCTTCCCCGTGGGCCAGTAGTGAACCAGATGAGTTTTTGCACCAAACAATGATAGTTTCATGGTCACTGAAATTAGCTTGCGATTTCAGAGTTGTTAACTGGATTTGAGCTCCATCAGCTGCTGTGGCTTTTCAATCCCCACAGCACTAATCTTGGTTCTGGATTACTAATCCAGTGGCATTTCCACTATATTATAGACTCACTTGCCTTTCCTGACCTTTGATCAATGAAGTGCTTTACAAGTGTGGTCTCTGTTGCAGCATGGAGGAGATGGCATCTACTTTGGGAATGGTAAACTTCCACATTTAGCAATGTCATGACCATCAGTTGTCTTAGGAATTGCTTAAATTTTGGCCATAACAGTGGGGTAAGCTGCTCTTCTTCAAAATACAAACCTGAGAGGGCAAACAGGTTCTTGGCTTAACGTCTCATGTGAATGACTGCAACTCTGATTGTGCTATACTGAGGCTAATATTACACGGCAAGCACCAGGCTAGATGATTTGCTGTAGTCTCTGAATAGGACTCGAACACACCACTCCCTAGGTTAGAAGTGAGTGTGCTCCATTGAGCCCACAGGTGGCATTAGAATGGTACTATATATCTAGTCAGAGATTGTTCTAAGGATGTGGAAGGGACAGACGCCACCAGTCCAAACCTCCACATTCCTACACACACATTTTACTCTTGGGGATAGTTTGGATGGACAAGAGCTACTCTTTGCTGTTTGCCTCTTTACTCGCTCTCATGTCTGTTGGTTGCTAAGGACAGTCAGAAAATTGCTTTCACTAGTACCTGGGTGAGTTTGAACCCATGACCTTTACTCTTGCGACGACCAAGCCCCATTTCCTCCTGCACTATCTGGAGAGCTGGTTTAGAAGATTTATACTTTGAGAGTTTCCTTTACAATGATGTATCAAGTGAAATTGTTTCAAGTGAAATAGTTTCAGGAAACCCAATTCCTTGAGAAATAAAAACAATTTCATTGCAATTACTTTATGAAGGCTGAAAGTGATGAGTTCTCTGACAGCTGATTACCTAATAACTTGCCTAAGCATGTCAGTACGTCCATTTGGGTTTTTTTGGGACCTTATTTGCCATTGGGGAGACAATGGCCTAATGATATTATCGCTAGACTATTAATCCAGAAACTCAACTAACTGGGGATCTGGGTTCAAATCCTACCACGGAATTTGAATTCAACAAAGAATCTGGAATTAAGGGTCTAATAATAACCATGAAACCATTGTCGATTGTTGACAAAACCCATTTGGTTCGCTAACGTCCTTTAGGGAAGGAAACTGCCATCCTTACCTGATTTGGCCTATATGTGGCTCCAGACCCACAGCAATGTGATTGACTCTTAACTGCCCTCTGGGCAATTAGGGATGGCCCAGCTGGAGACACCCTCATCTTGTGAGTGAATGGAAAGAAAGTTCCCCTGTCCAGGAATGACTTGGACTCTATTTCTAGCTCCATTAACTAATCTATGCTGATATGTTGGTATGGTACCAAAGGAATGCAGTATTATTGATGGTGTCATCTGATGAAATGGTTAAACACAGGTTTCACCTGTCTGTTTAAATGGCTGAGAGGATGAAGTGAGTTCTCCTGGTGTCCTGGACAATATTCATCCCTCAAGCAACACCAAACAAAAACAGATTAACCACCAATTATTACATTACTGTTTAGAACCAAGGAAAGTGAAAGTTTCTAAATAAACGCAAGTTCTTTTTCTTTTTCTGCCAACTGAATCTGCCACCCTTATCCTTGCTGGGTTTTAATTATGGCTTCTGCAGAATAGGCTGCAGTCACTTGATTTAACCTATGCCACACTGAATAAATGTTTGGTTTCTCCATTTAATATTTAACTGTCCTTCCTCAATTGTGGCACAAGTCAGTGAGGAGGAAGCAATAGTAGTTGGAAAGGCAGACTACTCCAGGACTGGAGTGGAGTCAGTGGAAAAAATCCCATTAAAATTATTTTGGGACACACTTGATTCAGGTGTACAAACTGCTTCCGGCTGACACTTCAATGAGTCACTCTGTCTTTTAGACCAGATTCTGAAGTTTAAGTGATACATTCAGAAGAAATAGAGAAAAGATTAAAAACATTCATTTCAGACTTTCCAGTAACAGAAAGTATTTGGGTCAGGTAGCATGTGGCGAGAAACAGCATTAAGATTTTGGCTCAATGATTTGACCTATTTAACTAATGGCAGGCAGGACATTTGACAGCAGTTTGTAAAGAGGCATAACCAGCTTCACTGGTTCCCTAGCCAGTGAACTCTACTGGAAAATAAGCAGATGTTAGACTCGGCTACAATACATCGTTGGTCAAATTAGCTTGCCAGTGTTCCAAATAAATTGTTGTGAATTATTTGAAGAAAGAAAAGCTACAAATGTTACCATGGGTCCTTGAAAATTGGAATAGCAGTAGGCCATTTGGCCCCTTGAGGTTACTCCTCCAATTAATGGGATCAAGGCTGATCTGCCATTTCTCATGTCCACTTACCTGTCCTTTCCCCATAACCTTTGATTCTCTGACCAATGAAGAATCTATTTCAGCCCTAAATACGTATATATAAGGACTCTGCCCTCATAGCTCTCTATGGCAAGGAGTTTCAAATACTCTCAACCCTCCAAGAGAAGAAATTCTACCTCATCTCAATCGTAAATTGGCACCTCATTATTCTGAGACTATTTCCTCTAGTCCTAGACTCTCCCATTAGAGAAAACATCCTCACAGCATTTACCCTTTTAAGTGCCTTAAGTCTCTGTTCTTAGGGTTATTGCATTCTGATGCCCCAGAAGAGCAGATAAAATTGGACAAGTTTCTCTCTTTCTGCCTGTCCTGATTTTTTTTTATTGAATGTCCTTGAGGTTTGATGGGTGCTTTGATGAGATGCATGTTCAAATGTCAATGCATAGTTTTACAGTGTGAATATGTTTGCTTGAACCTTCCTTGTGGTGAACTTTTCATCTCAGTTGAGGCATAGCAGAGGAATACAAAATACTCTAACTGGAGTTATGACTTCCATGCTGACTCCCTGTGAACTTCCACAGTTGCCTGTTCATGAACTTTGAGGAATTCAGTCAGTGTCTATTACCAGCAATTGAAGAAAATATGTTGGAAATCTAAACTTAACAACAGAAAATGTTGGAAATGTTCAGAAGGTTGGGTAGCAGCTTTTGGAGAGGGTGAGATGGGGGTTAACATTTCAAGCTATTCACCTATATTTTAAAAAGCCACATAAACACTGTATTCTGAAAGACATACCCAAGAAGAGGAATAATATTTTGTGTTTAGTGCAGTATCTTACTATTCTTATGGAAAACAATGTATCCTCTGACTTGTACAGCAGTTAAACTATCATATTTTTCTGCTACACTTCAAATGCTACTTACAACTCTGTGCTAGTTTTGCACAAGTGCATGAAGAAAAAGGCATTAATGTGGTACACGATCAGAATAATGCCAGATACCAGGGTCAAGAGAGTGGAGCAGCTGGAATTTTTCTCTTGTAGCAGAGAAAGTTGAAGGTAGATTTTAATAAAGGATTTATAAATGCTAAGAGGTTTCAACAGAATAAATGAGAGGAAATTGCTTCCATTGGTAGAAGAGTCAGTAAACAGATTTAAGGTAGTTGGCAGGAAAGGTAGAGGAGGAATGATGATTTTGTTCTAAAAATGCTCAGCAAACTGTACAGATCTAGAATGCACTGCTGGAAAATATTGGGAATTGGTTTTAAATTTCAAAATGGAAGTTGGATATATACAGACTTGCAAAAGAAAATACTTGTGGGGTAAAGAAGAGGTATTGTAGGGTGGTTGGAGGGAGATTGGGACCAATTGGATAATTCTTTTAAAGGGCTGACTAAAGCACAATAGGCTGAATGGTCATTTTCCATGCTGAATGATTCTGTAAAGCCTGTAACATGTGCAACTTAATAAAGGGGCAACCTGCTGTATTTCTCTGTAGAGAAGACAACAAGAGACAATAAGATGGGGGGAAGGGATTGTGGAAAAGAGGGCTGATGGGATCAAGTGAGAGGATTATTGGGCCTACAGAAAGTTCTGACTGTCTAAATGTTTTCTCTTCCAGCCACAAAGGAGCTTTGATCATAAAGTATAAACGGCTTTGCAAGAGGGCACTGTGATTCTATCAGTTCAATGGAGAAAAGTAGCAATCAGGAACTAATAGAATGGGATGAAGAAATGCAGACCAACGTCAACAAGGGATTTTGCAGCCCTGATGATGTGCTGAATCTGTCTGGAGATCAAATGGACAATGTTAGACTTTCACAGCACGGTTCAGGAGGTGATGACAGCATCAGTTTTGATGTCCATTGTGTGACTAATTTGGAGGAGATGAATGACAGGGCATCACGTGAACAGCACCTCAGTGTATCCATTGAGGGTGTTATGGGTGCCGACTGTCTGAGGACACCTCTGAGCTCGAAGACAGAGGTGGAATGTGAAAACCAATTTGAGGACTCTTCTGGCACTAAACCAGTTAGTCCATTGGGGCAACAAGGCAACGTTGGGCACATTGAAGCAATTAGCTCTGAAGAAGGTCCAATCGTCACCAAGCTTGAGCCCGTTCTTACACACTCTGTCCTCACTGAGAACTTGAGGACTTTTGGTGAGAACACGAGGGGCCAATTGAATAACCATACAAGCTCTTTTTCTGCTTGCCTGCCAGACAGTATTTTAGATGGAATAAATCTGAATGTGTCAGAGGTTGGACGCAGGGTGCTGTTGGCACCGTATACCCAAAAGGAGCATGACATCCCCACAATGAATACTGTTCAGAGTACTGCCGTAGATCGGATATTGTATGGGTTTGATTTAACATGTGAACGAGATGGAGACCAATACTCTTCGTTAGATCAGATGACCTATGATTATGATGTGACTTGTGGAGAGGAAGAAGTGCAATACACCTCTCTGGATCCAGTCTCCTACAGCTTTGACGTATCCTGTGAGGCTGATGAAGATTTAAACACTTCAGTAGATCCAATGTCGTATGAGTTTGAGGTTTCATGTACAAGAGATGATGAGGAAATACCATGTTTTAGTCAAAATTCCCTTGACAGTGGCAAAAATGTAGATGATCCAACGGCAAGTATCAGCTGTGAAAAGGCTACCAACAATGCATATGGTGCTGTCCAGTCATGGCCGAGTACAGAGTTCATTATTGGCTCACTTGAGCATCAAAGCAGTGTGGAAAACTCTTCCAGTGTCTTAGCCTTAAGGAATGAAGGCAGCTGCAAGAGAGTGGCCGTGACTGAGATTTCTGTCAATGTGCCTCGAGACCAAATACTGCCAACAAAAGACGTTCATGAAAGGGAACAAGTCCTGACAAGCTTGGGGAAGGATTGTATTCCTGGTAAGTCAGTTGGATGCATTGCAGAATTTCACTTTACTTGATGTATTTTCTCAAGTGCGAGAGCAGGCATGTCAACACATATTGTGCAGCCAACAGTGGACCTGCTTGATGGCTGTAATCTGAAATACCTTCCTTCTTTTATGTGTTTGCTGATTACTCATCTCACTCCTCCTCACCTCCACCAGCTGGCCACTAATATATAAGTAACCATCCCCAACCATTATACTTGTCATTGAGTGTTGGCAGATTCATTAGACAGCAGGGAACATCACAACCCCGATTCTGTTCTCCCTTGATGTCAAAACCAGGCGTGGCAGGATTATAACCAGAAGCGAGGGCTCTGGCTGTTAATTCTTTTCCTTTTTAACTTGCACACTGCAAACAGCCAGAGCCCTCTATTTTGCCAATTCATCATAGACATGGCGATGAGTGTGAAGGCTTGTCTAGTTTGTAGTTCAGCTATTCAAATTTGTTGAGCATTTGGACGCTTCGATTGTAAGGATTGGTTATTCCATTTTGCAAGAGCTGATGGTCCTCTTGAGCCATGGAAAGCAGCTGGAACGGTTCTTGACTGGGGAAAAGATCATATAGAAGGTAAGAGGTACACCACGTGAGGCTTTCCTTGTGATTCTGTGAACAGGTTCTGATCGTCAGAGTGGACTTACTAATATAGCTTTTCTTGTCCCATATTGGTCCTTTTTTTTTGGTTTTCCTTTTGCATATTTCAGGAGATCATGGAGATGCAAGAGGTTAGAATTAAATATGTGTTCCAAACCCCACTGAGGCTCCTAAAAGAAAGGAGTTCTTTCATTGTGCTCCTGGGTCCCAAAACCAGTGGAAAGAAAACTGATGGACAAGATTTTAATAATTCTTTTAGTATCTAACATATAATCCAAACATTAAATATCCTGTGCCCCTTAATAAAAATAATTTCACTTTAAATAACTGATACAACAAAGATGTACCTCATATATTTGCCAGCTTATGCACTACTTGCCTTATAGAAATAATACCATGCGTTCTTTCTCAATCTTTCCAATTCAGACTTTGTTTTTTAGGATCTCTCATTTTCCGTTCAAATGTTATTGCTTTGAGCTACATTCACCAGCAGCCATATTCCATTGGATGTCATCAGAAATGATTCCCACAGACATGTGTCACTTGACCGGACTGATGGCACAGAATATTCAGACTCCTTAGAATGGTCTGGTTGGCTCTGGTAATACTGAAGTTTCAGGAATGGGTCTTGCACAATCTACAATCTCTCACTCTTTCTGTTTTAAGTTTCTAACTGTCAAATTGTAAAACACACATGCGCACAGTCTCAGAACTATTTTCAGAATCTGACTGCTCTAAAAATGCCAAGCAGAAAACTGTTTCCTTCAGAGACAGCCTTTCTTGTTTACCCATTGTATGAACTGTGTGTGTTCTGAACTGTTAAACAGAAGGCACAGGCTGATCCAAACCTACTGCAGTTAGCTTTCTATTTACCATTTGCTTCTTGGGTGTTCATCCCTGTGGCAATCCCAGGTCATGTGGGCATTTCCTGATACCTAATGAGGTCCTAATCAGTGGATCCATTTACCATCTGTCAGAATACTGTCCAGTCCATCAACAGGTCCAGGTAATGGGCAGTGAAGAGGGTTGTGGTTCCCAACTGTATGCTTCTCTTTCGTGGTTCATGCCTAAGCCTCCTTGGAGGGGGAGCATGCGGTGTTCACCAGCACCCTGAAAACTTTCAGAGAGAGGTGGGTACTGTGAGGGCTGGAGTGTGTTATCTCCACCTCCAACATTATTTTGATTTAGTTCCCTGCCCTGGTTTCTTTCCCTTTTGGTTTTTTTGTTATAGTTACATGGTCCTGGTGGGCAGTGTTTGTTATTTGGTTGATTGGGAGGTCTATTTTTTAAAAAAAACACTCCCTGGCCCACTTTAATCTTAAAAAGGTATTCCACAAAATTAAAAGACATGCTTTCCAAAGAAAATGGGTATTCGCACAACCTTGCTGCAGCCTTCGTAAGGGTGGTGCATGCTTGATGGATCATTTGGTCTTTCCCTGCCCATCATTGGCCACAGTTGTATAAACACATGATAGATAATGTAGTTTCTGGGCTACTCTTGAGCCCAAGTTATGGCAGTCAGAGATCCTGCAGAATAAGATGCTGAATGTGTTGGCCCAATTATTGTGTACTTTGACAAGTCGTTTCTTATCATGTTTCTTCAATATCATTACTTGGCCTGAATGAAATGTTGCTACATAGTATCCATTTGCTGATATACATTTATGCTGTAGTTGCTACATTGTTGGCAAAGATTGGGTACTTCACAGCAGTTTCTCAGTCAATGTAACAATTGTAAATTTTGGATTACATTTTACTTCCTATTTGTATCTGTCACTCTCTAAACCATCCTCTCTGTTGATGGCTAACACCCCATTTTAAAAAAGTGGAGAGCATTTTAATCCCAGCCCCTCAAGTCAAAGTTCTACCCCGGGTCTTCCCTAATCTGTGGGAGCTGTAAAATGGAAAGCTGTTTCATCCACAGGGCTTGGAAATATAAAGCATCTACCTAGTTGTTGGGGACGCTATTCAGGCATACAAGATCTGGCCTGTTAGGTCCCATGCATAGTATTAAAAAATAACTCTGCTATTTAAAGGCCATGTAGCTGTTAGATCTGGATCAGAGCTCCACAGCAGCCATTGTTGCATTGGAGCTTGTGACACCAAAGTTTTGGCTGCTGACAATCGCTCTACTTAATTTGCCACTAAACTAGACACGCTCAAAATCATGAGGGCTTTGACGACCTAAATGAGGATGGTGTGTGGGTCAGTAACCAGAGGTCAGAAATTTAAGATAATTGGCAAAAGAATCTGAAGTGAGATAAAGCAAAAAGTTGGGGGCAGTGAAAGCAGAATTAATGGTGACTTTCCAAAGGAGAGTTGAAGGTGAAAGATTTGCAAGGCACTAGGGAAGGAGGAAGGAAGTGGGACAAAATGAACAGCTCTTTCAAAGAGTTGGTACATGCATGATGGGCTGAGCAGTCTTCTTCTGTGCTTTATGGTTCTAGAAACTGCCAGACTTTCTAAGAATACAGGCCATCATGTATGAGGTATTAAATTAGGGGAGCTATTCTACGGTTTGAGTTATACTCACTGGGGCATTGATGTCTTACCGTCTTTTTCGCCAGGCTATGTTTGATCTGGAAGTGCTTGATGCTGTCAAGTTGCAGAGTGTTCCATTCCCTTATGATCAAGTGACTAAGACAATTGTAAAATTTGGACTCCAGTAGCTGCCTTGTTTCTATTTTTCTAATCTTCATTTTGTCTTCAGGTGTGGGCGACATGGCAAAATGGAAACTGAGAGTGTAACTCTCCTCCTTTAGCAAAAGTGGTGGTAGCGCTTACTTTCTGAACCACATGCAGCCTGTGGAGTGAAGATGCTCCTTTTCTGATGGCCTCCTGCCTGCCAGATTGCTTGTGGCTTCCCTCAACTTGAGCATATCAAGCACCAGAAGTTCCCCTGCCCCACCCCAACCCCATTTTTTTGGAACGCACCCTCTGCATCATTGGGTAATTGCTCAGTTTATTTAATCACTGGTCGGCATGATTACGCTGCCTTGTCGCATTCCAGCCCTGCTTCTAAGCTCTTGGCCCATTAACTGCTCTCTGGTACAACTTTTCAGGAAATGATCTCTTTAATATATTCTCTTCATATATTCTCTTTAGCCGCAGTTTTAATGTGCCTCCCATTTCTGTCATTAGTTTGCTAGCCCTGGTTCAGTGTAGCATTTTAAATTTACACTGATGCATTTCGGCTGTGAAAGGAAATAAAAAGGCTTATATTTCCTATGCATATTTCACCTCCTCAGAGCACCCCAACTCTGTGGTGACATAGGAAAAGCAGCAGTTAGTATGCACACGAAGAATCTCCTACAAATAGCGGGTTTGCAAGAAATAGGAGGAATCTTAGACATACAGTGTGTCAAACCTGCTCCGCTATTCAGTTTAATTATGGCTGATCTTGGGTTTCAATGTGACTTTCCCATCTGCTGGTCTATTACTTGATTCTTCTGAGAAACAAAAAATCGGTCTATCCTGACCTTAAATATCTTCAGTGATGGACCTTCCACAGTGCTGTGGGATAGAGAATTCCAAGAATTCATAATTCTTTGAGTGAAGGAATTCCTCCTCTTCTCAGTCCAAAACGATCAATCCCTTCCCATGAGATTGTGCCCCTGTGTATTCAATTCTTCTACTTATGGAACCACTCACTGTTTCTCAGTATCTACCCTAACCAGTATCTCAATCTTGCAATTCTCACTTTTCAAAAGAAGTAAGCAAGTGATAAACCAGGAACTAGTCGGTCAGTCTAACTTCAGTAGTGGAAAAACTATTGGAAGTAATTCTCAGGGACGGAATTAATCTGCATGTGGTGAGACAGGGATTAATCAAGAATAGTCAGCATGGTTTTGTTAAGGAGAGGTCATATCTGACCAACTTGATTGAATTTTTCGAAGAGGTAACCAGGTATGTAGTTGAGGGCATTTGATGCAGTCTGCTTGAATTTCAAGTAAAGCTTTTGATGAGGTCCTGCACGAGAGACTGATAGCAACAGTGAGAGCCTATAGGATCCAAGGAAATTTGGCAAATTGGATCCATAGGTGGCTGAGTGGCACGAAGCAGAGGGTGGTGGATGAGGGGTTTTTATCCAACAGGAAGTCTGTGACCAGTGGAGTCCCACAGGGGTCAGTGTTGGGGTCCTTGTATTTTGTGGTTAATATAAGTGATTTAGAATTGAATGTAGGAAGATTGAGTATGTTTGCAGACTATACAAAATTGGTGGGGGTGGTAAATAGTGAGGAGGATAGCTTTAAACTGCAAGAGGATTTAGACAGGCTGGTCAGATAGGCTGATCAGTGATGAGCAGAATTCAATGTGGATAAATGTGATGCACTGGGCAGGAAAAATAAAAGGATGAATGGTAGGACCCTGGGAAGCACATG